AGTGTTATTCATGCAGTAACAGCAAGCTATCTGACGCCTTCTCAAACAGGAAATGGTTAATATTCTCTTAAGAGACTTCAGAATATGGAGTTTGCCTGACGTTACATTCATTACATTAATATGTGAAAATATTTGTTATTTATATGCATGTAACATCTGACTGTGTGTGCATGTGAGAACACGTCACTCAGCACAGTAGTGAGGCTCACTGATTGCATAGCAATGACACAGAGGAAGATACATGTCTGCACACCATCGTCCTCCTGCATCCATACGTCTGATACGCTCATTATCGCTTCAGTCGTCTGTATCTAAAGATGACTAAAGGTAACTTCAGTCCAACCAGGTCGCCTAAAACTAAACAGCAGAGCCAATTATCTGTCAGCTCTGGCCCAGCGCTCAACACAGCAGCGTGTGAAGGATGTAGACTGTAAAGCTACCTGGAGCTGCTCAGTATCACAGCGCACTTGTACCTTTTCAAGCAGTCTGTGTGTGTGTACATGACAGTGGGTGGGAGTGTGGGTGGAGGAAACGGGGAGGTGGGGTTTCTATGGCAATGGAGTGTTTGTGCTTCAGCTGCAGAATGGCAACATCCTCCCTGGAGGACGGCGACTTTAAGAGTTGTAATCTGGCGAAGTCTTCTCTGAGGAGCAGCAAACACACAACACCACGTGACCCAAAAGGTCGCTGCGACCTCCCGCCTGAGTCAGGCGTGTAGAGAAGGAGGCCGTGTGTGGGCGGGTCACGGGGCAGACGCAGCGAGGGCCGTGCACACAGGATCAGGGTACAGTAAGGAGAGAAGGCTGATGATGGCACATGTACACGAGCTGGAAACCTCGACGGCTAAAAATGTCCTTGTGTGTTTGAACATCGCTTCCCGTTGACTTATCCTGTTATTGCCTTTAATTACATTTAATGTTTCATCTAACTAGTGTTCAGAATAAACAGAGAAGCAGGATCAGTAAACATGAATTATACATTCTCTGTCAAGGCCGCTTGGAAATGAGCACGTTTGCAAACTAACTGCAGAAACACAAGGTTGGGAAACATCTGGAGCTCTGTGATACTGAATATATGAAAGTCTGGGTATGAAGTTATGACTATAGAATACATATAAAATGTCTGGGTGTGTAGCAGTGTCATATCATACATGACAGAATTTAATGTTTCTATTTCTCAAGATTTTTGTTACTAAGTAACTTTTCTCATTTATCTCCATCAATTTCAGCAGTGATCATAACCCAGTGCTAAATTAGTAAGTAAGAAACAAAAAAGTATTAAAAAGTATAGAAATAATGAAAGTGTTTGAATTTCCACCATAAGTTTGTCGTGATTGATGGTGCAACATTTACTTCTGTCTGCTACATTTTGTCACTTTTATGGATGATCTGTGGTTGTGTTGCAGCAGACTCTGACAGGTGTGAGCTCTGGTTCCTTGTGAAATACTCATGAACAACACAGTTCTACCTCACAATCATCACAATCACAGTAATCAGCACTTTCTAGCGTTATAAAAACGTGCCTGACAGTCGTGTCTAACATGATACACCTATAGCTCAAAATAACCTTTGAGCAGCTCGCATGTCTCCCGAGCGGCCTGACAGGCCCTACCTTTGCTGAAGCACACGCCTCCTTTTCCTTAACGATCCTATTTAGACCTATCAGACGTTTGGGGGGCGGGGACAATCAAAAACACCTGGAAAGAGGTATCCTAGGATGTTTGGGAGAAATGTTTTCAGAGTAATGGTGAAAGAAACAACATTAAAAATCTGTTGACATGTTTCTGTGTCTAGTTTAGATGATAGCACACGCTTTGATCTAAGAGTATTTCAGGTGGTAAAGTTTACTCCTTAATCATCTCCTCCACGGTTATGATATCAGCACATTATTGTAGAAGCCATCCAATCAAAAATAAAAACTCTGCTCTGCTTCTTGTAGCATGACGGCTGCTTCAGCCTCACTGTGCTCCACATGAGGAAGCTTTCTTCACTTACTGTATATCTGAGCAAAATGCTGATCAAATGAAGCCTCTTACAAAGAAAAAGCAAAGATCTTTACTTTGGATTCATTTCAGCTCTCAGTGCCTTTTCCTTCCACCAGTTCAGGGCTTTCTTAACAGATCTCGGTGTCCATTTACACTCCTCCTCTGTGCCTCCCTGTTCATTGCCCACATCCACCGGGCACTATGACAACAGCACCAGCAGCAGGCAGGGTTACCCCGGCCATAAGCCTGGTCAGATAGCACCAATGTGAACCTCTTTGCCCTTCTCTCATAAACACGGGAAGCTTCCTGCCGCACACTGAACCAAATGCAAATCCTCAGGAAAGAGACATTTAAGATATGAACACAGCGGAGTGAGTCGGCAGCGTTCCAGCGAACAGCTGAATATGTTCACCTTTGCAGAGTCATCCACGCTTATCAGGACGGAAAACTAAGCAAAGCAGGATTAATGTCAATTACCCAACTCCAACGTCAATTATTCAACTCGATGCACACGTGTGGAGTTTCTTCTCAGCACCTCCGTGTGAGGAACGAGTGTTTTTATGTGAAAACCTCATTTCATTTTCAGCTGCTGTCGTGACCGTTGGGAGTGCAGAGTCACATCGCTGGCTTTTCCACAGCAGGCCTGTAAACTACCCAAGAGCAAGGTGCAGGGTCGAAGGCAGGCAGCTCGTTTTCTGTTTAGACAGGGGGCTCCTGAGTAAAGACTTTAATTCAGCCAACATCTGAATGTTTATCTTCTCCGCCCTGGAGAAACTGACATTTTAAAGAGGCATTTTAATCCCTTGCATCAATATAGCCTTCACCAGCCTGGAAAATGAATGGCAATGACACACATGCACTCTTTTTCTCATCAGCCTCATCTTCATCTGCCCCGAGGTGCAGAGGACGTGCTGCTCGTGGCTGCAGAGGCACGTCTGAAGTCTGGTCACACGCTCGTGGTTGGGAACAACATGCATGATTTGCATCAAAGATAAAAGTGCCACAGGGAGGTGGGGACGGGTGGAGACGGCTTTGGATTTCATGCCCACGGGCTCTTATGCAAAATCCATCGCTTCAGATATACTGTTTGTTTTTGAAGCTTGCTGGAGATCGATTAACGTGAAACATGGATTTGGAAGGCAAACGAAACTCAGGTTTATTGGCGTGCAGCGATTACTGAGTGTAAACACTGAGGACGAACCTGATTGCATGAAAGCAAGTGTGCAAAGGATGCAGATACCAACCTTTAACAAGAGGCTCCAAGTAAACTCAGGAGCGCATCAATCTGCACAAGCTCACAAACGTTTGACATCCGTAAAGTTTTGCTCGTTCCGACCCTTGTGACGTATCACGGCCATTAAGCATGCAGGGGACACCATGATTGAGGCTAATTTTGGAAAACAACGTGTCACCTCAACGTCTACATCATTAGGATGCTATTTCTAACAGCAAATCAATCACTACGCCGGGCCTCGATGAAAGCGAAGCAGGCTGTGGACGCTCGGATAAACAATCTGAAGGAGGAAAAACTAGATTCTTACTTTGACTGTCAAATTTCCTGATGATGGTGTCCAGGAAGGTGTTCTGCGGAGCCACATGGCCCCTCCGGACTGGCATCTTCGCTGCAGTGGCCCCTGGACTGCGAAAGACTTTGCGGGACTTTGAATAATATCACAGCGAGAGCGCAGTTATCCAATCTCCGCAGCCGGGCGCACGACGCTCACGGCGCTCCCGGCATGGACGCTACAGCGCCAGGCTCAATCCGGGGGCCAAAGTTTCCCCAAGTTTGGCCGCAGAGAAAGTGAAATCTCTTTCCACGAGAAAGTGGGGAAGAGGAGAGTTCTGGAAAAGGAGGCGCGCTGTAGGATCTGAGCCGTTTTTTTGCCCTCCAGTTTCCAGCCTGAGAGGCGCGAGCGTGTCTGCTTGTGTCCCCCGAGGGGAGGGTCGCCTGTCAGGTGATGTTCCTCCTGCTCTCACACTCGCTGGAGCGCGGGGGACCACTCATCCTGCGCTACAACCCGCTCCCGTGAAGCGAGCTCGAACCTCTGTGGAGCCATGGCTCTGGCGCTGAGCTGCGCGTCTTTATTCCTCTTGTCCCACCTCCTCCTCGTCGCCACCTGAAGCTCAGCGCGTTTCACTGGGGAGGAAATGAAGAACAGCGGATTGGTTACATGAAAACAGCAGAGCTCGAGAACAGCAGCCCGAAGCGTAGATCAGTGTTTTTAGGAGGTGTTCACTGTATCTCTCTCCTCCATCTCGCTGTGCGCTCTGCCAGATGACTTCAGCTCCACTCGCTTCTAACTGCGTCTCTTTTTAACCCTTTGCGCATCAGGAGCGAGATAGCCAACCTTTGATGGATGGAGGAGAAGGAGCGCGCTCTCGGCCATCCCTGCTCTCCTCACCCCAGAAAAAACACTGCTTATTACACCTCCAAGAGCTTTGCAGTTTGGGGGTTTTGGTCGCTGAAAATGTGGCCCAGATATCATCAAAGAGCGCTGCAACTGATTTAAATGCCTCAAAACAAGATGATTTGTCACAAAGATGATCTTGTAATGAATGTGCGGTGCAGGTGAAAGGCTGCCGTTGTTAACAGGTGTTCGGCTTTGTGCTGCATTACCTGTCCTCAGCAGCTATGGGAGGGATTCAGTTTACATCCACGCCCTGCTCCTGTGCTGTGTAACAAAAGACTCACATCCATACCTCACAAAGGAACATTCACCTGCGCCAAAGTGAAGCGTGTCTCTCTGCCCGAGCTGATCCTGAATCAGCGCGTTTGCCGCGGATAACGAAAGGCCGTTTAAAACGCGCTGCTGGTGCTTCTTTATTGTGCTTCAGGGAGGGTCGGATGGGGATTCACCACTCAGCCTGCTCAGCTACGTCACAAGGGTTCCCCCCTTCCGTCAACCTGGGGATGATGCCTTCACGGAGCGTCGGGTTTTGTGGGTCTAGCGGATGGATTGAAACCCAGTCCTGCTCTTCCGTTCTATTTTAGCGTTATATGTAATATTTTTAAATATATGAATGTTCTCCAAACATTAAGAACTCGTAACGTGTCATTAATTTAGACATTTAAAGACAAAATTGTATGTCGGAAATGAAACCACATCCTGTCATGGTACACAACAGTACAATGTAATTACACAAAATGATGATGATGATTATCATTGTTATTATTATGTTGTCACAAGTTAATTATTTAATTGACAAGCTTGTTTTCTTGTGATAAACGGTTGATAGTATATATATTGTCATTGTGGGGGGAAATGAAACAGAAATGCTGATTATGTCCCAAAGACGAGATCAGATGAAATTCTCGTCATTTTGTATTAAAATGCAGCAGCGTGTGGTTTGTAGTTTGTGATCTGTTGGGGACACTAACGAGGTGACAAGATGTTTCAGTGAGTTTTTTTTTAGGAAATAAATACTTTATCAAGGATTTACAAATTACGATGACCTTGTTTGAAGCATCATTTCAATTTAGCTGTGAGGTATTAATTTTCCGACTGGCATTGAAGGCATCAGTAGACAAAGCCTTTTCCTGAATCCCTCGAAGTCCAGGAGCTGGACTGCAGCCGGGTCACCTGCGATGGGCTCTGAGGAAAACGTCCTTTTCAGCAGTGCCAAGCAAAGGCCTGAAGCCCCTCTGCTGCTCCGTGGAAGCATTTACAAAAAATGTCCTGCACAGCTCCATAAAGGCGCCCCCCCCCCCCTTTTTTTCCCCTCAGCATCATATTTTCATATTTTTAATGATTAGTCACACGTGATAAATTGCAGCCCTGCAGCTGGACGATCGATCAAAACGTGACTCTTTGGCATGAATTAAAAATGCATCGGTTTCTGCTCTTATTACTTCCAGCAGTATTTACTGAAGCAGCTGAAAGCCAGAGGAGGCGTGCTGGTCAGCCTTCCCCTCAAAACTCCCTTATTTAGTCAAGAAAAGAGAGAGGGAGGACGAGGACGAGGACGAGGAGAGGAAGAAAGGAGGGGACCGAGGAGGCAAGAAGGGGATGATGAGAGAGGAAAATCAATATGTACCTAAAGTTCATTGATGAATTCCTAATGTGTGCGCACCTTACATTATAGGATAAACGACTGAAATAAATAAAGAGAACAAACTCCGGGCGTCACTTTGACACATCCATTAAAAGCTACACCTCCTTACAGCTGCGCAGTAAATGAAACTGTCAGCAGAAACGCTGTTTGTCACACTGCCAGTTGTGTTAACGGAAGAGAAGCTGCAGGCAGCAGCAGGTTTTACTGAAGTAACCAAGAGAAACGCAGAGATGGATGATTTAAATCATGTATAATTTTACTGTCTTTGCATTCCCCATAAAAGACCCGGTGACACAGGAGACGAGCTCATCTGTGGGAAGATGAGCACATGATTTTAAAAATGACTTGAACGCTAAAGAAGGTTTGTGTTACAGCCAGCAGGCTGTCAGGACAGCAACGCTCTGTGATGCAAACCGAAGGAAAAGGGAAAAGAATAGCAGCGTGTTTGTGGTGTACGCATCTCATTTGCTTCATACACGAGCTTTGCAGATACTTATCTGTACTGACATCCTTTAGATGTTAAGTTTACTGAAGTGTGAAAGTAAAGCTGCTTAATTCTCTGGATTAGAATATTGTGATTACTCTCAGTGT